GCGTCCCATGAGCGGCGCTGAGCTCGCTGAGCCACCACGGCATTCGGGAATGCTCTGGGCCGCGGGAAAAATTGTCGATGTATATAAATACTTATAATGTATATTAAAGAATAAAGATTCTAAGATATAAGTCTTACGGAGAGCTAATCTCTCTAGCTCCGCCGATAGAGCCCTAGTAAGATATTACTATGGACTTTATCGTAGGGCTACCACCGTCTAAGTATCGAAATAGCGTCTACGACGCGATGCTAGTGGTAGTAGATAAACACTTAAAAATAGTACGTCTTATTTTATATAAGTAAGATATAACGGCCTAGAAATTAAGAACGATCTTAATTAATGAAGTCTTCTCGAGATATAGAATGTCTAAAATAATTATAAGTGATAGAGACTCTCTATTTACGTCGAAGTATTAAGAGACGATGTACTATTATCTCACGGTTAAGAGAAAGCTATTAACCGCTTTTCATCTATAGATAGACGGATAAATAGAGCGGCTAAATTAAGTACTTAAATACTACTTAAGATACTATCTAAATGACGAATAAAGTAACTAAGCTAAACTACTTAGTAGTATAGAATAAGCTATTAATAATAGCCGAAATAGTACGATTAATACTATATCGTTCTAGATAATATATAACTATAAACCTAGTATAAAAAGAAATCTTAAAGATTCTTATTCATCCGAATTAGATAAAAAGGAACCGCTCTTAATTCATAAGAGAGTAAGATAAAATACTAAGAAGATTTTAGCTATATAAGCTCACTTATAAGAATTTTAGTAAAGGATGTAAGAAAAGATTAAGAGCTACTATGATTAGCACCGTAAGAATATAGAATTTATAGCGGGTAATCTAGTTATACTCTTAACGAAAAACATTAAGTTACGTAAAGCTAGTAAGAAACTCTCTAATAAGTATATAGGGCCTTTCTACGTTAAACAACGAATAGATAAAAATACCTATTAACTTACTTTATCTAAGCGTTATAAACGAATTCATTTAATATTTTATATTTCACTTCTTTAGACTTATTATCAACGCTAAGGAACTCTTCCTTCTTTATCTATTAATATAGATGAAGAGAAAGAGTTCGATATAGAATAGATTCTAGACGCTTAAGGAAAGAGAGTAAGACGACGTTAGTTAGTTAAATAACTAAGGTAAGACTATAAATACAATATATAGAAATCTAAGAAACACTTCACCGGTGCCCTTATACGAAAAATAATTAGAGAGTTCGACGAAAAGCACGGCGTACGTATTTAATAAGAAATATCTCTTACCTAAATTAAGTAGAGGTATACTTAGTTTCATCACAAAGAGCTACTTATAACCTACGCTACGTAAAGGCGATACCCTTATAGATCGTTTTAAAAGTCCCGACCTATCTCTAAGAATAAGTATTACCCTACTATCTATATATATTCTATACTTTAGAGAGGTCCCGACCTATCTCCTAAAAATAATATTACTCTATTATTTACTTATATTCTATATAGCTCTAATATTAGTGTGGAATATCGCCCTCTAAAGGTTTATATTAAATCTTTAGTTACGTAATTAAATACGAAGTTTAAGTTCGTATTTAGACCTAGGGTCTATGAAAT